GTGAAGTACATGGTGACCGTATATATTAATAAAGTGCACCATGTGATATAGCAATCACTACCCAAAATTGACAGTTATTGGTCCATATACAATAAACCTAACTTTGCTGAATCAAAGTTGTATCTACTACATACATGTACCTGTTTAGATCTTACGGGTTAAGAGAACTCTGTAATTAGTCGAGGTCTAATTCATTTACATCGATCAATATAAAATGAATTGCTCCCCTCTAAGATACGTTCAATACACCAGTGTATACTAGTGCAACTAATCAGTCAAGACCAACTGTACCTTTCACACTACAACGTGCTGATAGCTTGTTTTTTATCTAGGTTGTGAACCAATTTCATTATGTTTCGCAGATCTCTGTCCATCCGTGACGAACCATATATCCAAGTTCAAAACAACAAAATATAAAACTTGTTTAATTGAACATAAATTGTCATTCAAACGGGAATAGTGTTAAGAAAAAGTCGAGATTTCAGTTTACACACCAACAATCTCCCACTTATACTTAAAATTTCGCTTTTACAAGTATGCATCTTTCAATCTCTATTCTAAACAACTATTGTCCTAACTGTTATACATCGTACTCCCTAACAGCTTTCACCAGAAAGCCCATTCCAAAAAGGAATCTTTCGGTCGTCTACTGACGTAAGTAGGCGACAAAGCTCTACCTTTTTGCAATTTATTTCATTGGGTCGTGCTTTTATGCGCTCAGTTGCTTAATGAACATGTGATTTTGTCTCGTTCGCAAATGCACCAACTGTTATCACAATTAAATTGTGACTTGACTAGCACAAACAAAGATTTCACAATTCTTGTTCAAAGAGGCCACCGGATAAAGATCTCTCCCATTGCTTGCTTTTAAGCCAGTAACGGAACGAGTTTCCATGGTGGAATCCATCAACAGATTATCGTTCGACATTCCTCTAAACTACTGGTTCTACCTCACAAGTGAACACAAACCCCTTAGGTAAATTTTACTTATTGTTCAAGTCTAATTGGAAATTAGAATCCTTTGTAATCCATAGTTATCCTTAGCCTAGTTACAGTCGCTGCATATGGTTCATTTGTTAACCCTACATATTATCTTTAGCCTAGTTACAGCCGCTTGATCATATGTTCTACAACGAACCAATGCGCCCATCTAGGATTACTTCGATATCTATTAACTATGCCCATGGCAATAATATATATCGGCCCTCATATACTGCATTGCATACACTGCTTCCTATTGTCGAGCATAAGGAACTGCCTTTGTGTTATGTATGATACGAATGAGCCTTATGAGTGTCCATAGATATGAAGCTTCATACCTAACTGCTTGGATAACCATACCTCTGCGTCTGACCGCATCTTCACACTGTCTCCAGTTGATCAGAATGTAATCTACGCACATTAAAAACATACCACCACGCTTCACATACACACACAATGCTCATTTGGTGTCTGATCAAATCCACAAACATGATCAAATAAATATACATGATGGCTAAACTTACTTCAATCCACTAGTGAATTGTTTCAGTTTCACTTGACTAAATGCTCTTAGAAATCTACAATCAAACTTTCTGGGTGCTACTTCATGGACATTTCTATAAGAATTCGTCTTACTGTGCCAAACTCATAGCTCATACGAGCAGCCACAACTTTAAAATTCATATAGACTCAAGTACAACTACCGGTGAAAAAAGCTAACTAATAGTTTAGACGAATTTATTTGTAGATACATCATGCCTAGTGACCTTTACGCCACTTGGTGGTTCTACAATATCCTAGATCTAATTAGAGTGCAAGACCCTTAATAAAAAAACACTGTAGTTCGCTAAGTTCATGCATCCTTGTCTCGAAGTGTCTCAAAGCATAACAAGAGATCAATTTCACATTTTCTAGAGACTAAGTCCAAAGACTTATCTCAAGAACATGAATTCATAAATTCGTGCTTATCAGACACTGAGTCCATAGACTTCTCTCAATAATCATGAACCTTTGACAAACGCATTGGAACGCTCCCACTACAATAAGAATCTCATCGTATGAACAGGGATTTATTTCACATTCACTAGAGACTAAATCCAAAGACTTTCTCAAGAACATGAATTATTCGGCTGCCTAACAGCCTCCCACTACGATAAGCTACCTCCGGTAAAGGTGTATTACTAGTGATGCGTGATTGTACTTTCATGTTGGTACAACATTTTACACAAGCGGTAACGAACTTTAAACATTTACGTTTATCTTTTCTTATAACAATTCCACAATTGTGCTTGTGGCTTATCACTTAGTATTCCTCTAAAAGTCAGGCATTCGTTTTCACAATCGCCTTTTGATTTTAGATGCTATATATTTAACCAACTTTCTCGTTATCGTGGAGTATGACACAAACAACCAATTTTCCAAACAACTTTTCAATCTTATGAGTATCACCTTTTCAGTCGAATGCCAAAAACACTTCAAATTCGAATATGCCTTGACTGGGCCTAAACCCCGTCCATAATCGTTTCAAAGTAGAAGGTGTCGATTTAGGTGGAACTATGTTAAGATCTGATGTCGTTGTATGCAAAACCCCAAAACAAAAAACTAAAAATACTTAGTAATCCATCATTGACTTAGCCATACCTAAGAGACATTTTTCTTCGTTCTGTTACATCGTTCTATTTGGGTAAACTAGATGCAACCTGTTGAGACTGATCCCAATTTTCAATTAGTAATTTCTAGATTATTTCAAAAGATATTAGTCATTACGATTACTATTGTAGTGCCAATGATACATTAACCTCGACGTCTTTCCACAACTGCCTTTGTATTCCCTTGAAGTACTCAAGCTTATGGGATGTCACTAAATGTACCCTGCCGTGATTACATTTCTCAAAAAAAGATATCCAAAACTACCTTTTGTCCTAAAAATCATAGGATTACACAAATCGGATGAACTAATCCTAACATTCATTTGGCTTCTAAACCCCTCAGCCTTCAAAAATCCATTTTGGTCATTTTTAACTACTATGTATAATTTGTAAGTCTGATAGTTTGATCCATTCTCAAAAAACCCATGAGTCCAATGGCTATATACCCTTGAATTCTATTAATGCTAAAAAATTCCAAACACTATGTCAAAATAATGTATGATTCATTTATTGCAGGACCTTTTTCATCTTATTTGCTTTAGTCGATGTGTCACTTATTTCCATTTATTGCATTGTGAGTCCTTTTAATTACTTGAGTTAACAAATTATCTACCCACATACCGCATGAGCAAAACATGTGTGGAAACTGGAGTCAAAAAACAAAGAGGCTCGACATAAATCCATTTTTTTTTTCTAGATTTAGTTCTCTACAAATAGCTTCAACAAATTTTTCCATTTTCTTAGTTTCAGACAAAAAAACAAAACAAAAAAAAAAATCTTGTAAATTGTGATTTGTGAATTGAACAATGATAAAAGAATTTAAAATTTTGAAGTTAAATGTATATATTTAATCTTGGTATTATCTATATATATATATATATATATAATAAAAATAATCATTTACAAAAAAATAGTAGTAAAAACATTTAGGAGCATTTGATGCATACCTTTTTGTGGAAATTTTTTAAATATATGCATTAATTGCTTCCATATACACATTTTCAAATAAGATCAAATCATATGATCAAAAATATTGTTTCCTTAAATAATTTTATTAATATCTGCAATAATTTCATTGAGATCCATTATCACAAGATTGATTTTATGTGATTCATGTTGATAATATTTTGGTCAAGATAAATATTACAACATCTAATCATAATATTAATCTTTTTCACAAATATTCACTTTATATCCAAATATATTTATAGAAAATCGTAACAGATTAAGTAGAATTTTTCTTCAAATTAATCAGACGAAATCAAGTTGGTGAATTAATCTTTGTAAATATAATTTTTTCTTAAGCTTTATGTCCTTATATATAAAAAATAAATTATTGTTCGAATTAATATAATTTACCATTTAAGAGATAATGACCAGATACATTAATTACTATTACTATGGTCAAAACCTAAAATTGAAATATATTAATTGTTCTTTAGAATTTATTTGTATATTATTGGCAACCATGGTTATTTTTTTTATTATTTTTTTTTATTTTGATTTCTTTCTATAATGAAATTCTTATAAAATATATTTTCATCGCAGAGTATGCTAAATAAATTATAAATCCTTATATTGCAAATTAGAAGAATCTTGATTATAGAAGGGATTGAGTTTTTTGGCATTTGCTAAATCAAAGTTGTTTAATTAGTATACAAAATTAAATTCTAAAAAAACATGTGTGTATATTCTGTATTTATTTACAAAATATGTATACACTATTTAATTCTATATGTATTTACATATTTTAAATTGATTGCAAAAATAAATAATGGTAACGTGTATTAAATATTTTTCATTACATAAAATAAAAATAAAAAGACATAACTCTTATAACTTTGATAACTTTCATAAATAATAATGACATTATATGACAACAAAGTTTATAATAAATAATAATTAAGTATATATGGTGAACAAAAATAACTGAAACTGTTATTTTCTCTTATATCAAGCAATAAATATATATACTAAATAAAATTTATATTAGTATAAAAATGTTAGTGAAATAATATATTAATTATTTTACAAGCTAATCCTATCATACTCATATTTAATGTTCTGGCTAAAAAAACAACGCTAATTAAAAGAGATGAAAAATAAATTATAGCCCTATTGGATTTCAAACTTAACACTGACTAAAAGAAGTAGAAAATAGATGATAATCCTATTGTTTATTAGTATTAAATTGACAGAGCTTCTAAAAATAACTCATTTAATATCTATGTTCCGTCCATCGCACGGGGTACGTACTAATTATATACTCTTTAGTATATATAATTTCTTTTATATAAAGCGAGTGATGTGTCCTGTGTTAGTATTTTATTATGTAATCCTAACCTCATATATGAGTATGAATATCCAAGAAAAAGATATGCAAGTATTCACCAGCATTAGAAAGGTAGAATTAGTCATAGAACGGATTCCAAACATAGGCCAATGGCTGGAAAATAATACAAGCGTGTACATCTTTCAGAATTTTAACCCTAACCCGTCTGCATAAATACATAGTGCGAGCACAGCACCATTTATACGTTCGTACAATCTCCTAAACTATACACATCAATTAAAATACACATCTTATCATATCGTGTATAAAAGTTCTTTCGAACAATTCGCTGTATGGTCTTCGCAACCAACAATAGCACGTTAATGAGACGCGTCCTTGCTCACAAGCCTGGTATTTCATAACAGATTTATTTACAAAGCATACCCTTGAAGTTTAGTCCAATTACTAAAGAAAATAACAAGAAAAAGAAAAGCTATAAATTACATTTATCCTCTCATATTTTAAGACTAAAATAGAAAGTCACAGAAAGAAATTATGACCTGTGAGCAAAAGGAGAAACTAACCATCTCCATAGGCATATAGTTTTTCAAATCGGGAAACAATGTGTTTTCCGTACGTGTATTTCTTTAGAACAGTTAGATGATTTTTGATCTGGCTGAGTAGTACTTCCCGATGATCGTTCGAGCATTTTTCAAGTATCCTCTGGATGACATAATTTGCATACTGGTCTTTCATCATAACCTTCAAGGATAAATCAGAAGAGAAAACAGATTTGATAAATTAAATATCGCTTAGGTTGACTTTGAAGACATATGCTAAACAAGGGGTGCGCATGAAAACAAGCAGTGGAAGATACAAGTACGGAACACAATTTTTTAACTAACTCAGCAGCTGGCCTTTGAACATGTTGTCAAGTGCACATGTGCGCCTTCACATCTATGCAATCTAAGTCAAACTTAATTTAATTTTTAAATTCTCCAAGGTGTGGTATGAATAAGAAAAATCCTTCAGATACATCTACAATTCTCCAGCTGACTAAATTTTTTGTCAAAACTTACAAATTCATTACCATACTATGATCATATTGCTTGGCATATGATCAGTGACCAAGATTCATTAAATTCTTCTTTGTGGTACTGAACAATATGATTGCCAAGTCAAATATTAAATTTCCATGCAGTTGCGTATAAATGGAGAGAAATATAAAAATAAATTAATAGTTGTACTATGTTGTATGATTTGCTTTTCTCTCAAATATGACACGAGTGATTGAGTACTGATTGCAACCGTGAAATAATCAAAGAGACAATGAGGTTATCATGTGATTAATTAAAAAAAGAAATTGAGTTAGCCCCTGCTTGCTTAGATTTAGAAGAACTCACAATAGCTGTTATGAATTAGTTTTAAGCTTTCAAAGCAACTCACCAATAAATTATCATTCTTGTCGCCATCCCCTATAATTTCCTTTATCAGCCTTTCTCTTGCATCAGAATCACTATACTCCACACATTTTTCGACAACATTTGATGCGAATTTGTGCTGGCTCAATTGCACAATAGATCCAACTAACTTCTCAATGATTCGACTCCTTTCATGAGGCTTTCCCCTTTCCAAAGCATGCTGTCAATTATATATTCAAAATCAAATAAATATATAAATAAATAAATAAAAGAAAATTAAAAAAGAAATGTAAGAATTAAATCGTTCCAAAAAATATTAGTTGAAGTGACACCAAATAACCATAACTCAGACAGTTACCCATTCCAATTTAGTGCTTATAGTCTATTGATACTCAAATTTTGCCGACCAGAATTAAGTCCATTAAGACACGATGCAATCACCACATATTAAATCCCAAAGCCGCGATATCAACAAGCACTTCAGTCAAATAATTCTATAAATAGAGGGGTCTAGAGGTTCCAAAGATTATCAACTTCTACATCAAATAATTCTCACTACAATATCATATACTACACTAAAATGTTGTTCTCTCCATCATTACGTAACCCTGCTCTCCAAGTACCCCTCCCTTGTTTCCGATGTCCCCATGCTTTCGAAAGGCTCGTAATG